TCCCTTCCGACCCTAAATCTATGAAACTATGAAACTATTTGGTTTATGATATTAATTAAGCAAAAGTAATTAATCATGTGTGTCACTGTAAGCCCAAAGATTTTCAGTGGGACTACTCACATGCTCAGGGTTCCTAAGTGCTTTACAGAAGTGAGGTCCCAAGCCATAAACCACATTGCTCATGTTCTGCTAATCTAAACACATATATTCATTTTATTTCATTTCCAGAACTTCTTTGATACTCACAATGAAATTTTAATAATTTGCTTTTTTGTCAGGGCTAGTATTTGATCCTTCTATCTCATTTTTCTAATAGTTAAAACTAGGGCTGTCAATTACTCACAGTTATGCATGCAATTTTTGTGTTAATTTGTTTTTGAGTTAATTTCCTTAACACCCATTAATGGCTGCTGGTGCTGAGCGAAAAGTGGCCCCTCATTGGTACATGCCCGCCTGTGCTGCTGGGCGAAAAGCAGTCCCTCCCCCCTTGCTGTGGTTGGGTCACACACACAGGTGGCCACCAAGCAACCAGGCAGGGTCCTGGGAATAGACTCAGCAGCTGGGTGCAGTTAAGTGTATATGGGGGGCAGGGGTTGGAGGCCCAGGTCTTGGGGACCATCTATGGCTTGTGTACATGTGTAAGGAGGGGCGGGTGCCACACCTTCACAAATTTCCCACCCCCAACCCCGAATCATAGAAAGTACCTGCAAAATTTTGCATAATTTTGAGTTTTTAGCTATGCAATTAACATTGCAATTCATTGAGACTAATTTTGTTAAGTGCACAGCTAATTGTGATCAAATGTTTTAATCATTTGATGGCCCTAGTTAAAACTCATTCATAAATATTTCAATCGGAAACAGTTTTTCTACCAAAACTATATGGCAAGGCTGGAAAAATGCAGGTAAAGCTTGCAGTACTTAAGAAAAGAAATAAATGCATAACAACAAAGAATTCATAGACAGCAGCAATGTTTCAGTGAGTTAAAAGAAGATTCTTTGTGCCATCTGAAGAAGTGATACCCCATCTTCATTAAGCACTGACACTGTAATTAAGCTGTAAGTAACGCATTAGATTTATGCCAATATCATTAAAAGAATACGTCTCACTGCTGCTAAATAGTACTTTAAAGAACAATCAAATAATGAGAAATGTATGTGACTCCAAGAAGTAGGTTTTCATATTTGGAACCCTACTGCAGAAAAGTATACTATAGGTGAGTCTTGTAATTACAAATTAAAAGGATTTTGACCCTTAAATTTACATTTTTCTTGTACATTTTTCTCAAGTATTCTAAAATTTTCATTGAAATAAGTTTATTCTACATTGTGCAAAAAACCCTTACCTAGAGCATGAGCTATTTTATTAAGCTGCACTCAAATTTACTAAAGTAATATCAAGATTATAAGTCAAATGAACAAAAGCAAAAAATTATAGATTTACGTGTCTCTCACTCTGTTTTATTTACTTTTATCATATAAAACACATGTAGTGCAGTACATACTGAAAGATGTCTCAGTTTTAAAATAATTGAAACAACTACTTTAGCTTTAATGCAAGAACCATTAACAGAGTGACAGAGAGGGTACATCTGAATATTGAGAACTTTCACCAACCTATTGATGAAACAGTATTTAATGCACCTGGTGAGCTGGGTTCACAGTTCCTTCCCACATGAATGAAAGTAAAATATTGTTGCATTGCCAACAAAACCGATGTGGCTACATTTGAGGAAGAATTGTGCTGTTTGGCATTTTGCGAGGAACATATACAAATAAGGTATTTTCATCTCTTAAAAGGTTTCTCCTTTTGAGCCACCACACTTTTATCCTTTCTTGTCTTATAAAAAATGTACGCTTAAAATGCAACATTTTTTTTCTAAATCCTCCCCTAGTTTGCTCTATCTTATAGTCTACATTATAGTCTAACACCACATTTTTTGTTTTCCAAAAATAAAAAGATTCCTCATAGATTAGATAGCCTCTTCTGTCACAATTCATATACCCTTATTTACATCAAGAAATACTTTGCTGCATGTATAGTTCCTGTTGACTTTGAAGGGACTGACTGCTTAGTATAAGAGTAATAGAATCCAATATACATAGTTAGTAAGCATTTTAGAGGCTGATGTTCATACAAAACTGTTCGGTATTGGTAAGAAAATAAAGCAGGCAAAGAGAAAACCCTTTATCTAACAATTACTATAACATTTTTTGTCTATTTTTCTCTATAAAATCTAAAACTAAAAAAGAAAATATCTGTGAAGTTCAATATGGTGAAAAAGGAAGATGATGAACATTTCAAGATTAAAAAAAAAAGACAAGAAAAAAAGGATTAACACACATCCAGCTTTCTAACTTATTTTCAATGTTCCCGCTTTCTAACTTTTAACAAATAAGGCATAACAAATTGAGCCTACACAACATTTACAATTCCTTACCATATATTTAAAAAGTAATCTTCTGTGTTTTTGTTTGGCTTCATATGCACATAAATGTGTATAAATGCTGCCCACTTGTTGCAAAAGTTCACAATCTTTTTAACTTTCAACCAATCACAGCAAAACACAACCTGATTTCATCAACATTAAAATTTTGAGTAATGCCTGCATTTAGTCATAAACAAGTTTCTTTCTACTATACAAAATAATAGATATGCCAGAAAATAGCTGTCTAAATGATTTACCCAATATAGACAGACATCAATTTGAAAAAGTCTGACTTGCTTTAACAATCCATTACCCTTCAGACTGCTATGAATCATCACTGACTAATACTGTTCAATACAATGGGTTAAATTTGCTTTTCTACAGTTTAGTGTTTTTAGATGCTATAATACAGTTACCTGTCATTAATGATCCAGTTCAGACAAAGATTAAGAGAGCTAAGGTTCTTGCATCGTTTTACTATTTCCATCACTGTTTCATTGTCCAGTTCTGTGATATGACGTAGGTCCAGGCTGGAAAGGTTTCTTAGCTATTGAGATAAATACAATAGAGAAGAAAAAGTCTGAAATGCATTCATAAATAGCAAGTACTGACATATTCTATTATAAAAGCCTTTTCACCTTTCTAGAATCATATGCAGTACCCAAAAAGTTATGTTGGGAAGATGTAATTATACTTTTTGAAAAAAAAAAGGAGGGAGGGGGTTAGAATAGCAATAACAACAGATAGCAATGAGATGACCAGAATTCTCCTTTAACGAGGAAAGAATTTGTTACTGAAAATGTAATACAATTAAAACAACTGAAAAACTGTTTTTTAATACTATAGGAATGCTCCAGCTCACCAGTTAAGGGCCTTTTAGTATTCCCATTACTAACTACATTTTTAATAGATGCAAAATAGTTATCTGGGCTTTGACTTACCTTGAAATTATATTTATTAAATTAGAGTATGTCAGTATTTTTTCTTCATTTTTTTTTTTGGCGATTGTACAAGTTCAAGAAACTGAAAATGAACATTTTCAAAAATTTCTTGTGCTCCTAGAATAGAAACATGTGACTCTGACTTTTAAAATTAATCTTCGCAGGATATCTCATTGCTTGTCCACATTACAAAGCCATTACAAATGACAGTTATTTGGTTTGGAAAAAAATGGCTCTGCACATGCATAGTGATTTTTTTCTAACAAAAGACCTTCCATTTAGCATTGCAAGATATGAATAGAAACTGTATAATGAAAAGTAAGGCATGCATTTTTTAAGTGCAGAGGGATGTACTGAATGCAAAAACTTCAATATTATCCAAAAAGCATACTTGATATATGCCATCTAATCTACATTTGAAAAGCATGTACTTTTCCTCCCCCCACAGGCAAAAAGGGGATGGTAGAGGTTCCATATTATTTCCAAAACCCAGGTAAAGGCAGCTAGGAAGCACTCAGTTTTCTAAAAGGTTGGCCATCATTTTGCTACAAGGCTTTGGGAGTTCGGTATGACAATGTTTATGTTGGCACACAACTATAAATTTTTCAGCCGCATTGAAGTCAACAGAATAGTATAGAAAAACAAAGATAATAATGAAGTAGGAATATACAGAAATAAAATATAAGTATCATTTAATTCCACATATTTAACTATGTGTGTATACAGATGTTCAGGAAGTTAGATTGAGTTAAAAGTGGTCACCTGATTTGACTTATTTTGCCTACATGTGGACCTTACACATAGATCTCTAGTTAATCTGATTGAGGTGCCAAACTGTACAGAAGTTCCCCAAAGGGGATAAAGATAAATCATTATATACCTAACAATCACTTAAAACAAGGGTGCTCAATCTTTAGCCCACAGGCCAAATGTGGCCCATGGAGCTCCCCACCGGTCTGGAAAGTTGGCAGCACGGGAACAGTGGCCATAAATATGGCCACCATACCCCTGTCAACTTCTCAAACACCAAGCCCTGAACAGCTGGTCACAGCCTGGCTGCATCCCCACCCTGTACCAATGGATCAGAGTTAGGCCATGTCCCCTTCCCCGCTCGGGCTGGGCCATGCCTCCTCCCCCTTCAGGGCTCAGATGGGGTCTAGCCATCCCTCCTGCTCCCCTGTGGGCTGGGTTGCAGCCAGGCCATGTCCCATTCCCCCACAGGGCCACGGCCAGCTCCTCTGCACTGGTGGAGCCATGGTGGGGCAGGCCTGCCCCCCTCCTACCAAGCCTGCTGCAGGCCCTGGATTGGGACCATCAGCTGAATCCAGCTCACAGCTGGACCAGGCACTGGATTTGAGAACCACTGGGTTAAAAATGGCAGGCCCAATCTAGCTTTAGTTCATCTGAGTGGCATACTAAAGTTAGATTGGCGTGGTTAGACCAATCTAACCAGATATCTGTATTAATTCAGAGCATAATCCCAGGACTGGGAAAGCCCAGCTATGCCCCAGACACAAGGAGGTGCCTTTCCTACCCCCTCCCCTTGCCATTGGGCTTTTTTAAGTCCCCCCCCATCTCCAGATGGACAACCCCCATGCAGACCACCTAGCCCACTTGAGCAGATACATATCTACCTGCAGCTATAAATCAAAGTTGCAACTAAGGGTGCTTGTACATGTGACAGGGGTTTAGTCCTTCAGGGTTGCATTCTATGCCCCTTAAATTGAAACAGTGAGTTAACTGAAATGGTGGGATTTATTTTTCTGTCACTGTATAGATGTCATTGTCCTAGCAGTCACAGGTGCTTGCTGAAGGCAGAAGCAGTGAGGGGCCTGGTCCTTCCCCTCCCCCCCCAGTGGATCCTGCCTGCTTCTCCTGTGGCTGTGTGCTGCTGGCAGGCCACCTGGCTCCTGATCTGCATGGGGCCTCAGTCCTTCCCTCGACATTGGCAGTCTCCGGGCAGGCTCCTAGCAGGCTGGGTGCTGCCCCAGCTCAGAGTCATGTTATCCAACTCTTCCCAAGCCCGCCAAGGCTTCCAGTGCCCTGTGCACTGTCCCCACCACCTTCTCCAAACACCATCACACCCAGCTGTCCTCCTGCCACTTCCCTATGCTACCCTGGGGTAAGCCAGCCTGTTTCCAGGCAGCCTCAGGTGTCTTCGCAGCCACAGGTATCTGCTGAAAGCAGTAGTGAGGTGCCTGATCCTTTTGTTTTGGCAGAGCCTGCCTCCCTCTCCTGCAGCTGGGAGATGAACTGACAGATTAATGGCTG